AATATATATATATCTTAAATATATATATATCTTAAATATATATATATATATATTTAAGAAATCTGCTGAGAAGGGAGGAAGCAGACTCAGTGAGCAGCCTATTGCCAATAAGTGCTGATTGGTGTTGCTTCCAGCTTCCGAGATGACCTTTCAAAAATGCAAACCCATCGACACTATTTTACTTAAGACCTTTCAACGTCTCTTTATTGTGTTCAAGATTTAGTTCAAACTTCTTTTTTTAAACTAGGTGTTCGTAAGACTAGTTTCTATTTTCGAAGTCTAACTCCAGGTCCTGCCACACTCCCACATCCAGATCCTCTTCCAGCTTTTGTCTCTATCTGGGGTGGTTGCTTTAACAGCTTCTCTAGCTAGGTCCTTGTGTCCAACTCTCCCTCACCCTAACCCCACCCCAGAGGGCGGTGCACCTCTCCCTCATTGCATCAATCACGGCAGGTCCAAGTAATTCTTTATCCCTATAATTAAAACTTGTCAAGGGCAGGGGCGAAAATGTTCCCCACTGTGTTCCCACTGCTCTTCAGAGCTTGACACAGCGCCACTGCCTAATGCCCTTCGTTGAATGGATGCCTAGAAAGCCTGAGGTGATCCGTCTAAGGAATGGGGCCAGCTAACAAGGCTGACAAAAGGCGGAGGGAAACGATCTGTGACTGACTAGACAAGCACTCACCCGCGATCACGAATTTGGCCATGTTCTCTAGCGAGCCCTAGAGACTTGGACCACGGGCGTCGCGGTTTCCTGGCAACCGCGCGGTGCTCGAAAAGTGGCGCAGGCGCTCCTAGAAGCTGCCACGCAGTTCAAAGTCACTATTTGAATGTGTTGAGTTTCCGTAAACAACAATACATCTTTGTAAGCTCCGTGGTTTCCTGTGGCTTTCGACTTTATCTCTTCATCTGAGAAGAGAAACTCTTCTTTCTGGCAGTGTTCCCCCCCCCCCCCCCATCTACACATGGTCTTCTACGGCCGCCGCGAACTTACGATTTTTGACCTACATGAGAACCCGTAAAACGTCACCAGACGCGCCGCTCGGAGGAACTGTCATGGCTGCGCCCGTGAATGCCCACGGGGTTCTGTTCTAAGGCGAGTGCATGGCGAGCGTAAGCGGAGTCGTGGGGCGGTGTCGTGTTAGTCTCTTTACCCGGTGGATAGACGTTCGAGAAGTGGCCTCGGTCTTAAGTTTAGGGCGGTGTGTTGATGCTGAGTGGCTCGGTTGCTGAAGGATGCTGGCACGGGTTTCGGGATCTTAATGAGGCTGGCTGATTGTAGCTTTTCAGATACGAAGAACGTAGTTTTACTTTTTTCTTTCTTGTCTAAGAAAGGCTGTCTTGTCCAAGTACGTTTTCTTAACAGTGTGCTTTTGGCTAAGGCTAGATCAACGGAGGCCTCAAAACTATGTTAACAAAGTTAGCCGATGAAGATTTATTGAATGTCTGTCTATCTATGTATTTATAGAAGCTACTTTATCTACACCTACGCGATAAATCCTTCTTTATTTAGTTTAAAGACGCTACTTTATTCGCAATGTACGCGTTGAAAGTGGACGTGTTTTTACCATTTTAATATAAAGCTCTAGTGGGTCATAGGTACCCTTGCAAGCCCCTGTTAGATGCATTTCTCTTATTTAAGCAACAGTTTTAAACTATTATTTCTTTTATTCACCCTTTCCCTACAGTCCACCAACATATGCTCTCTTTTAGTAAGAAGTTAACTTTCGTTGGATCTTCACTATTTGAAAGTGTGTCAGTGGACAGCAAAATGAATAACAAAGCACATTCCTTGTTATGGAACATAAGACAGTTCAGTACTTTACTTCCAAGAAGCAGAGCTTTGAGGATAAATCCTCTGGGGTTTTGCAAACCAGAAGTTATTCATTCAAAATGGAATCCAAGAAACCACCTGCTAAATGGTTTTGAGGGGGGATTGCAACCATCTGCTCGATACCTCTTTCGAGGTACATTTATTTTGAAGTCAGTAGATGGTTCTACTCAAACCAAAGGCATAAGCCATACTGCTGTTTTAAAACTAGACAGAATACTTTGTCCTAAAAGACTGTCTTTTGACTCAAAGCATTCTTTTGCCTCTGATGGGGCATCGGAGCATGATTTGATGAAAACAAACTTGCATCATACCTCCAGTGAAGATGCGCTCACCAAGAAAATGAGACCAACCCCCGTGAATCATGGAAAGCTGGCCCAGGAGTGTAACTCTCTGAGTGATGTTCTGGACACGTTTTCAAAAGCACCTACGTTTCCTAGTAGCACCTATTTCTTAGCAATGTGGACAATTGCCAAAAGGATACCTGAAGACAAGAGGCGCTTTGAAGTACAGCTGATGTTCAGGCACCCCGCCTTTAACCAGCTGTGTGATCAAATGATGAGAGAAGTCAAGATCATGCACTATGACCACCTCTTGTTCAGTCTTAACGCTATGGTGAAGGTGGGAGTCCCTCAGAATACTCTTATGGTACAGACTTTGCTGAGGACGATTCAGGTAAGAAACAGGGACACCCACACGGGGCTTTACCGTGTTTCACATATTTTGAAGGAGTCGGGAAGTAGAGGTGTATAGCTTCCTTAGAAGACTATCAGCAGAATATATGTCTTATGTGCACTTTTGTATTACATATTATATGGCTAGGAGATCTTAAGTTAAATAATTTTGCTTTGGAAATTTGTGAAAGCCTGTCCCACTTACCTTCTCTAGTGTTAAGTGGGAAGGAAGAGAGATGCAGAGAAAGGTTGGGTAGTTGAAGGCCCAAGGGAAAGGAATGGAGGTGAACTAGTGTTTCCCTTACATAATCTTAATCCTCCTTACAGGATTAAGACTAGGAAACAAACTTAATGGTATCAAGCTGCTTGGTTAATAGCTAGTGGATTTGGATTCCTTTATTCACACAGTGAATATATATTGGGTGTCAGCCATGTGCAAGGTACCACATTTATCATTGCTGTAAGAGATAGAGCACGTAGTTCTTTATAATCATGACTCCTGCAGTCTAAACTGGGAGGTGTATTTGCAGGCACTTACAGGAGTGGTAATCAGCATTCCTTTAATGACTCATACTGTGTTGTAGGCACTGTGCTGAACACTCAGTTATCACCGCTTAGAGAGCTCTTAGTTCAATGCGGAAAAATACAGGGTCATGTGAGAGTGTGTAATAGAATTTCCAATCTCGATTTTGTCTCCAAAACATTAAAATAAGATTGGGAGAAGGATACAAAGTCAATGTCTATGGAACAGCTAGCATTTATGAAATTACATGGCTGACATCCAGTGGGAAAACGTGACTAGTTTAGGAAGGTAAAATAGTTTGGTGCATCTGAAGTAAGGAATGGTAGTGAGATGACTTTGGGGGGTTATAGGGTTGGGTTGGGTAAGAAATTAATTATGTATGTGGTGTGGGGCAAGGATTTGAGGCTGAAAAAGATAGTAGCAAAATTGTAAAAAACTTTTTATGCCTGGCGGAGTTTGTATTTGCCCAATAGACAACAGTAGTCCATTGGAGAGTTTTAAGACAGGAATTGACATGCTGGTTTGCATTTTCAGTTCCACAGGTATGAGGAACTTGCTTGATGTCACTTGTATGGCACCAGATGTAAAGTAGTAATCATTTACTTTTTAAGAGTGGCAATATGATTCCTAAACTCAATAATTAAATAAGTGTCTTAAAATACATTCACTTCCTGGACATAATCTGTCATATACTCTGTTCCACTTCAGTTCATTAATTGAGTTTATAGATGTATGAATTTAAAATTTTTTATGTTAACTTGGTTCATATGTCCTCAAGCAAGAACTTTTAAATTTTGTGGTTTTGTAAGCTATAGAATAGCAGTTTGCTTGGTAGGCGCTTGTTTGGTAGGTATTCCTTATGTAATCATTTAAAAATGATTGTTTGGAGCCAGTTTCCACTGACAGTGATTCAGTTTTGTACTAGACCTTGGACAGGCATTCACAACTGTGTAGCATCCTCACTGGGAACATTGAAGTCAGAAAATGGGCACGTGATTGTGCCTCAGTAATGTGGCACAATAATCTCTGGCTAAAAACATTTAGCCAGAGATGAAAGGACAGTGTTTTGCCAGTGAATCTGAGTCAAGTAGCCTTACCTTTCACAGAAGATGTCACAGGATATCTATCTGTCTGTCTATCTCTCTGTCTAGAGAGACTGAGACTCATGGGAATGAAACCATTCCCCAATCCACTTCCAGCTTTATCTACTTAAAGCATTATATCATCTAGTTCTGACTCAAAACTTTATAAGTAATGGTTAGTTGTACCACTCTAGCAAAGAGCAAAAGGCTTCCTCGAATATGGTCCTACTCTTAATAGATGGGTTGTGGTTAAATTAATGGGACCTAGAGAAGCTGTGTCATTACTGTTCTTGTTCCAGATTGTCCCTGCCATTTCTGGAATAAACTAGTGCCCTAACGGAGGCCCAGGTAGCATTGGCAAAATGCAGTGGGCCATGAGAATAAAAAGATCCATGGGGCAGTTGCATGGTCCTCAGAAAAGGCTGTGTGGTAACTGTAAGGACAGTCTTCCAGGCTTCATTTAGCAGAGCAATTGACTTATATACTCCAGGAGTTCTTCTGTTATTCTACTATACTGTCTTCCTGGCTTCAGGGCCCACGGAGGGTGAAAATACGTTTAATGCAAGTTATTTCCCAAGCAAAAGAATGTAGTCAATATCAAATGGATTTCCAGCGACACATAAGAATGTGTTGGTGTATAAAGGTTATGCGTCAGTTATTTGGAAAAGCCACTGAATTGTCACCTCTTTTTTCCAAGAATAGATGTTTATTGTGGACTTTGTGAATTACTGGTCTGGTCCTTAGTCCTTTGCAAGCATGAGTTGAGAGGTTTTGCTTGGGAGAACTCGTGTACACCTCCTCAACGCTGCTGTATTTGTAATTGTATTTTAATAGGAGCGCATCAATGAGTGTGACGAGAGATGTCTGTCAGTTCTGTCAACTGCTTTAGAGCCGATGGAGCCCTGCATGAATGTGAATGCGCTTCGAGCGGCAATACGGTAGGAACCTTAGGTTTTCTTCACATGCCTTTCGCTGTGGTCCTTGTTTGAGGAATTAAAAGGCCCGATGAAAATTGAATTCCTTTTTTTGGGAGGCATGGGTAATGTATGCATTGGTGGAAATTAATACTTTATTAAACTTAAAATCCCAATTCTAAATGATGTAAAGCTGAAGATAGTACTTTTAAAGTTCCTACTTTAGAAAAGGATATGGCGCTATTGGTTTAGTTTTTCTTAGACTGTAGTACTGGTGGAAGGTGGAAGGAGAACTGACAAGTACCCTCAGTTCTGAAGAGTTATTTGGGCACTACAGGGATTACATTACATTGGCTTATCTTAAAAAGATATAACATTGATTCAGCTGATCTGTTTAGGGGGGAGTTAAGAGGATACCCTTAGTCTGATGTGATTTGTTAATAAAAACAATACAGAAATGTAAGAGGAGATATACTGGAATGATTTAGATCCTTCCTAAGTGCTTACACCATGGAGACCATGTCTGTAGATTTCATATTCCTGGCCAATTCCAAATAGGGCTGGACCAAATGAAATTTTCAGATTTCTGGTTTGGAGATTCTAGGATTATCCTGTTTCTTGTGTCTAATGACAGAATCCTAGTTGATCAGCAAGTTTGGAAGATAGACCATATCTTCACATTACAAACTGTGATGAAGTGTATCGGGAAAGACACACCCCTTGCTCTAAAGAAGAAATTGGAGGTAAACACCTGGCTTTTCTCTAGTGGGTGAAATTTGAAAAAACTATCTTTGAGGAGAACATGCCTATGCTTTTGGGTTTAGCTTTGCTGACATGAATTAAGGCATATCTGTCTGTATGTGTAAACATATCTGTATTTGCATATACACACACACCTACTTCTGTATTTGTCTATCAATCATCTTTCTTACGCTTTATCCTTGTTTCTTCAATGATAACTAAGTGCAAGTTTGTTTCTGTAGATGAAAGCCTTGAAGGAGTTAGGCAGATTTTCTGTCGTAAATAGTATGCACATGTTTGAAGTATTAGCTGCCATGGATCACCGCTCTGTTGTCCTTCTGAATGAATGCAGTAAGGTGGTCATAGGTAAGGAGGGCTTTTCCTGTTTGATCTGCCACATCTGACCTATTACTTGCTTTCAGCCCTTGGCTGTTATGATGCATAACTGATGGTCAGCTACATGTAAATTTTATATTTGCCTATAGTTTTGTTTTCCTTCAAAATGCAATGTTATTTTTCCCCCCAAAGAATATACTGAGTATTTTGAATCTTATGTTCAAAACCATCTGGTAATGCTTATTTATTTAACTCATTCTTAAAGATAATATCCATGGATGTCCTTTTAAAGTATTGATCGGCATACTGCAGTCCTGTAAAAATCTTCGATACCAAAATGAAGATCTCTTCAAAAGCATAGCAGATTATGTGGCTACAACTTTTGACATTTGGAAATTGAAACAAGTGAGTTTCAGGTGGGGGTATTGTTATTAAAGAATGAAAATCTCAGCTGTTCTATTTTACAAATAAAGACTCAGGAGCCAGATGCTGGGGCGAAAACTTGCTAGCTCAGAGAGGCAGAGAAAACACTCAGCTAACCTTCCTTCTCAACTCAGGTCTGGATGGAAAAAGCCTAAAAGTCTCACTAGCTCAGTTGACAGCTCAGGAGGAAAAGGCCTAAAAACCCAAAGCCAAAGGCTTGCTAGCTCAAAGCTCAAAAAGCCAAAAAAAAAAAAAAAAAAAAAAACCAGAGAGCTAAAGCTCAAGAGCTAGAGCACTCAAGCTCCTTCCTCTTCATGCTGTCTTAAATATCTCTCAACTCAAAGTTCCTCCTACTCTTTAGTCCCTGTCAGCTCGTTTCTTGCTCTGCCTTGATCTAGAGTTAACTTTATTAAATCCTGTGTACATAAAGCTTTTGGATTAAAGGTATGTGCCAGGGTTGGTCCAACTACACTATAATCACCTTTTACAATAAACAGAAAGTTCTTGGATTAAAGGTGTGTGCCAGGGCTGGCTGAACCACATCCAACAAGAAACAGGGTTTTACAATTCACAGTTTTGGGGTTCACAGTGGATCAGATATCCTGTAACAGGGTATCCCTGAGAAGGTTTCAGGGAACTTCTTCATTCGCTTGTTTTAATGTTTCTCTCTGCTTTATAGAAGTTGGTATCAAAATATTCCAATGCTAAGTTAGCTCAGCTCCTTAGCTTTCTCCAGGTACTCACTGATAAAGCAGTCAATCTTCCATCAGTTTTCTAGCCGAAAGAAAATTACATTGTCGAAAGTTCTTCCTACATTTAGTTGTTAAAGAATTCTATAGAAATGCTATTTAGCATTGTGTATCCTATCTTCTTGTTGGCTATTGAACAATAAAGATGGGTCTAAATAATTAAGTGTGGCAGACTTATAGGTTTTGAAGAGTAAAATGTGAGGTAGGTGGAGACTGAGCCAGTCCCTGGGTTCAGTTTGTTAAGAAAGTAAGATGAATTTTGAGTTTATTATGAAAACTGATTTCAGAGACAATAATTCATGTGGTATATTAGCCACATGAAAATTAGAAGTGAAGTTTGTTTTAATCATGATATTTGACATCCATAAATTGATATAAGATACAGAAATTTTGAGTTTCAGAAAGAAATTTTGTTTAAAAATGCCACAACGAAATATAATTCTTTATATACTAATTTTTTAAAAATCTGAAAAGACAGGGAATGTTAGGAAAAATATTTACATCATATTAGGATTGAGTCAGATAATCCAGCGGGGCGTAATGGCACAAAGCTGTGATCCCAGCATCTTCAAAGGCTGAGGCTGGAGGACTGCAAGCTCAAGGCCAGTTTATTGGTAAAAAAAGAAAAACATGTTTGAAATATCATGTCTATGAGGATGTAGGCAGTGTTTGGAAGTGGGAATATTTCAAGATGGAAGTTATCTATCTTGAAAACTTCAGAAAAGGCACAGTTTTCAGATCTTTCATATGAAAGACAAGTAAGAAAGGATTTTAAATGCGATGTGGAGATCATTGTATGTCTTGGTTCTCAGTTTCAAGCGATTGCTCATTAAGTTGATATTGGATTAAAGAACAAAAGGAAACTATAATTGTTCCTTTGAAGGTAGCATTTTGCTACATAAGTTCTTTGAGATTTAAAAACTTAAAGAGTAGCATATTTTAGCTTTTGACTAACTTCTCCTCCCTTCTATTTTTAAGGTTATCTTTCTCCTCTTGTTATTTGAAACTCTTGGTTTTCGACCTCCTGGTTTGATGGACAAGCTTATGGAGAAAGTAATAGAGGAGCCTGGCTCTCTAAACATGAAGAACATCGTTTCTATTCTTCACGTGTATTCTTCTCTCAATCACATCCACAAAGGCCAGAACAGAGAGTATGTACCATTTTCCTTCTTGTCGTCACACGGTGCTTACAGAAATGATTGCTGGTCTCAGGCATAACACGTTAGTGACTGCGTTCGCAGCCACCTCCACGTTTGAAATACAGCAGCATTTATTTATATAGTTGAACAGAGTCTTGCCTTTGGGTTTCTTTCTCATACTTGTTCCTTTGTTCAGTTGTTTATTCATTGTAGGAATGAACATTTTGAACTTGACCACTTTTCACTATTAACTCCTAACTTACTTGTTCTTGTTAACTTCATCCAAAAGTTGACGAATGTTTCTGTAAATTTATTTTCTATTTGTTATCTATTCATTTGTTATTGTGGTAGGGTTCTGCACATGAGAGGTGCTCTCCCAGCACACTTTCAAGTGGTACAGCATTGGTGACTGGGCACAGCACAGCCGTGATGCTGCCTCCCCCTTCACACTTCAACCATCCTGCTGAACAACACCTCTCTCTTCCCTTGCCTCCCCCTTCTCGCCTTTATGCTATTGCTTTTGGATTTGTAGTATGTGTTATGTGCCCGTCTAGGCTAGCTTATTCACCTAACACAGTGTCCTCCAACTTTATCTGTATTACATTAAATGGAAGAATTTTTCTCTTTTTCAAGGCTACTTAATATCCCAGTATTTTTATACTATGTTATGTTTATTCGTCTGCTGATGAGCATTTAGGTGCTTAACATATATTGACTTTTGTGTTGAACACGAGAGTGTATATATCCTGCTGAGATCCTGATTTCAGTTCTTGTAAACCAAAATATACTTGGAAAACTTGCTGTGGTAGTTGTACCCGTAATCCCAGCACTTGGAAAGGTGAGACAGGAGGATTGCTGTGAGTTAGAGGCCAGCCTAGGCTACAGACAGACTTTCGTTGCAAAACAAACAAACAGAAAAAATAACTATCCCTAAATATGGATCAAGAGACCGTATGGTAGACCCCCCCTTTTATATTTGGGTTTTTAATTTTTGAGGATTCCTCACTGACTTATGTAGTTTTCTACCAACAGTGTGCATAGTGTGGAGGGGCTGTATCCCCCACGGCGTGCACCATGTGCTGTGGGCTGGCTCCAGTTGCTTTATGTCCTCCTGGGTTGCTTTTGTGGGCATCCTGTCCGGGCACATTTCTTCCTGCTTTGGGTTTGCATTTCCTGACTGCTGGTTGTGTTGAGCGCACTTCCTTACAGATGTGCCCTGAGCGTGCGCTCTGGGGATTTGTCTCCTATGCTCACTGTCAGTTTTCTGGCCATGTCTTCATGCTGTTAAATTGTAGGCATCCTTCTATATTTTGGATAGTAATCCCCTGTTGAGTGTGCAGTTTGCAGATATTCTCTGCCCTTCTTTGATTCTGTTGACTTTCGCTTGGCAGAAGATTTTTAGTTTGCTGTTGTCCCTGGACTATTTCTGCTTTTGTTGACTGTACTTTTTATATCCTAGTCTAAAAATCATTGTTCTGCACAATGTGATAAAATGAGATTTCCCATATATTTTTGTAGGAGTTTAGGTTTTATGTTTAATCAATTTTAAGTTTACTTTTATGTAAAGTCCAGTACAGCCAAGGCTACACAGAGAAACCCTGTCTCAAAAACCAAAAAAAAAAAAAAAAAAAAAAAAGAAGAAGAAGGCTGGCAAGGTGGCTCAGTGGTGCACATACATACATATGGGCAAAACATTCATACCTCTCAACAATGGAAAGGTTCAGGAGCAGAGCACTGAATTCTAGCAAATGTTAAAATGAGAATAATTAAATGAACATAAACCTCTTAAACTCATCTAAATCTACAGAAGAGAGAACATTTCTGAACTCACAAGACAAACATTATCTTCACACCAAATCTAGCCACACATGCCAAATGGGAACAGAACACTAGCAAACCTAATTCGATACCACGTGAAAAAAGATCATACATAGACCATGAACAAGTGAGACCCAGGGAGCCTCAGCACATGCCACCAATTAATGTAACAAGCCACATTAACAGAATAAAGGATTAAGAGAGAAATCACACTGTCACCTTAATACAGAAGAGAGAATGAAGAAAAGCATTTGGAAAAACTCAACACCCTTCTGTGATGAACGTTCCCAATATATTTGGTATGGAAGGGATATATTTCAATATAATAACTCACATGTAAAAGGCCCATATAATCAGTAGCATGTTAAGTGGTGAAAAACTCATAAATAAGGCAAGAATGCCTCCTCTTGTCCACTTCTATTTAATATAGTACTTGAAGTTCTAGCTTAAGGTGAAATAAATAAATATAAATAATTAGGTACATAAATAATTAAGTAGAAAAAGGTAAAGAAAAGGTGCACAAATATGGTTCAAAGCAGAAAAGTAGTATCTACTTTATTTCTATACACTAACGAGCTGTCCAATCTCCCTTATAATAAGATCAGAAAGAGTAACAGCAGGAATGAACGGAACCAAGGATATGAGAGACTTACACCCTACAAACTATAAAATACTGGTTAAAGAAATTAAAGATGGCACAAATAAAACATGGAAAGACATTGCTTATCCGTAGACTGGAAGCCAACACAGTTAAATTTTCCATATTATCTGCAGTGACTCAATGGTTCAGTGCAATCTCTCTCAAACTCCCAGCAGTATTTTTACACAACAAAGAAAAATGTGCTTCTGAAATTCATATGGAAACCAAGTTGCCCAAATTCTCTTAGGCATCTTGGGAAGTGCTAGGCTGGACCTTTCTACCTCAGAAAATACTACAAAGCTGTGGTAGTAATGTTAAGACAAAGCAGTACTGCATAAAAACAAACAAGAGCACACAAATGAGAAAGGACAGTGTCTTCAACAGCTCTGTGAAAACTGGTTATGTGCATAAAAAATAAAATTAAACCTTTGTAGACCATGCTGACCTTGAACTCACAGAGAACTCTGCCTCCCTGAGTGCTGGGATTACAGGTGTGTGCTTTTGCGCCCAGCTCCATATTTTCTTGGTGAGGATTTTATTGGTAAATCAATCTCTGTATTCATTGTTGGTCTATTTTGATTTTCTTTTTCTCCATGGCTTAATCTAATTTGGTTGTATATGAATTTATTTCTTCTTGGCTACCAGTTTGTTAGCAAACTATTTTTTCCTTTTTTATTAGACTCTTTGTGTGTGTGTGTGTGTGTGTGTGTGTGTGTGTGTGTGTGTATGTGTGTTAGGGAAGAGAGGCTGAACATGTGCAGACTTCATTGTCATTTTTCTGTAAAAGGTAGTATCACAGCTATCTATATAGAATTTGCATTGTATTAGACATTATAACCAAAAGATTTAATCAAAAGATTAGATATTATAATTAAAAGATGATTTTAAGTATGTAGGATGATGTACATAGGTTATATGCAATTTTTTTTTTTTTTTTAACTTGGGCTCACTATGTAGCCCATGCTGGCCTTGGAGTTTTGATCCTCTTACCTCAGCCTCCCCAGATGTCAGGGATTATAGGGATGCCCCACAGTGCCTAGTTTATGTGGTACTAGGGATTGAGCTTGAGGCTTCAATCCATGCTCAGCATTGCACCAACTAGTTGGCCTCTCCAGCTCCTCCCAGTATGTCTGTGGCATTAGTGGGATTGTTTCAGCTCTCGTTTCTACTTTCAAATAGGTCTTTTCCCCGTTAGTTTAGTTGCAGGTTCACCAGCTCTTATTTTGGTTGATCTTTCCCCACGGTTCGTGTTTGTTTCTGTTTAAATCTTCATTACTTTCTTCCTCTACTAACTCTGGCTTTGGTTTGTGCTGTTTCTAGTCTCCTCTCTTTTAAACATTTACTTATTTACATTTAATGTGTATGGGTTTGCCTGCACATATGTATGTATAATTCATATGTGCCTGGTACCTGTGGAGGCCAGAAGAAGTAGTCGGGTCCTGGAACTAGAATACAGACAGTTGTGTACCGCCATGTGGGTGCTGGGAACGGAACTCAGATGCTCTGCAAAAACAGCCTGTGCTTAGAGCTGCTGAGCCATCTCGTCAGCCTCTTTTTCTAGTTTCCTGGTTTAAGTTAAGGTTTACTTGACTATTCTTTTTAAAGGTAGCATTTATTACAGTAAACTTTCCTATTGGTACTGCCTTTACTGAATACTGTTACTTTGGTGCACTGTGGCTTTGTTCAGATTTCTTTCTAATTTTCTGTTCGATTTCTGTAGGTATGTTGAATAATTTTACCTTTATGAATTTTCTAGTTTTCCATTTGTTCATGACGACTAACTTACTGTGTTGTAGTCTGAACTGATATTAGTAAGATTTATACTTTCTTAAATGTGTTAGCTGTGTGGAGACCTTACATGCATTTTGTATCGCATATGTCTAAGAAAGAGTCCGTTTGATGCTGTCAAGTGGGTAGTCTATCAGCATTGTCATCTTGAGTGCAGTCCAGGTCAGCTTCTCTGTCTTCATTTCTGCATTGATGATTATTGAACGAAGGGTAAAATCTCTGACATTACTGTCCTACTGCCTGTCTGTCCGGAAGATGTATTTTTGCTATAAGTGTGTTTCCTGATGGTGAACCCTTACGCATTTGTAAACTGTCCCACTTTCACAATGAGTTGACACTTCTATTAGAATGACTGTCTTTGTCTTTTATGACAGTTTTTTCACTTAAAATCTGTTTTTTGTTTTTTCCTAATATAAATACGACCACCCCTACTCTTCTTTGGTCACCATTTGTTGTGTCTTCTATTTTTTTCAATTTCAGATGTGTGTCCTTCAGTCTATTGTGAGCCCCTTGTACACAGTATATAGTTAGTGCTCATTTATTTTGTTATCTGTTCAGCTCTTTATATATCTTAATTGGGGAGTTCAATACATGCATTAGCTTTCTCATTGTGGCAGAATATACAATAAACAACTTAAGGTTGATTCTGGCTCGCAGTTTGAGAGTACAGCTGATGACAGAGAGGGAAGTCATTTCGGAGGGAACATGAGGCCAGTCATATGGCATCCACACCCAGGAAGCAGAGATGAAGGCTACCATGTAATTAATAGCTTTCTCATGTTTTTGTTTGATCTGGGGTCTGAGGCCATAGGATGGATGGTGTTGCTCAAATTGAGGGTGGGTATCTTCTCTTCTCCGTTCAGCTTTTCTGAAAATACCGATAGACATACTCAAAGGTGTGTTTCATGCTGCCAAGTTGACAATGACAATTAATGATCACAGTGCAGATATGTTTAAAGCTTTAATTGGTAGAGAAAGGTTTACTATTGTCGTTTTGCTTCCTGTTATTTTTTTCTGTTTCCTCTCTTTAGCATGTCTTTGCAGTGCCTCCTTTATGTGTCTTTGGTGTATTATTTCTGGTTACTGTAAGTCTTATACAGCATGCTCTTACAGCACTTAGTTTAGGCTCAGGCTCATAACGTTAGCCACATAGAAAAGCTGGACAATTTTATGCTCCCCTACTCTTTGGTATTGATTTTTACAATTTATATTTTTAAGATTGTGTATTTATTAACTTTTTAATAATTATATTAGGAAGTTTTTCTCTTAGCTTTTGTACTAAACAAAAAAAAATGGCTTACATACTACTGTGGCTGCTGCATGAACCCTGGTGCAGTCAGTTCCCAATTTAATACTCCTACCTCTCTGTTTTCTCACTCGCTCCTGTTCCAGGGTACTTCAGTTCTTTTAACCTCACGGGCCTTCCTGCCTTCCTGGCCACTGAGACTGCCCAGTTGACCTCAAACGTTGGCCTGCACAGTTTTGTCAGTCTGTGCTGTCTTCCTAGGCATGCTTGCCCTTGCTGTCAGCATCCCTGTTCTACTGTCTCACTGTTACACAGAGCCCCACGCTCCATTCAGATGATCTTCCCTAGTGCGTCTACCCTTCAAATTCTCCCCGGAGCTCCCTTCCCCCCGTCATGGTACTCTGTGTGACTTACTTTTTTCTTTTTCTCCTGTGTTATGCTAAGGATAACATATACGTTGAGAGTCAGACTTAACCTGCATTCAGGGGAAGTCTGCCATTCATCAACAGTGTCACCTCCCCAAAGTGTCACCCTCCCACTCCATCTGTGCTTAGCGGCTGTGCTGTGCTGCGCAGCAGTAGCTGTGAATGGTAGGGTTAGGCTTGTAAGTCATTACCAAGAATTTTGATAGCTAGGATGTTTTAATTGCTTATAAAATTGCAGTGGCATTCCAGGCCTTGTGAAACTGTGTAAACAGTAAAAGGCTCTGGTGCCTGACCATTTAGGTTCTTAAACTGTCTCTGTTTCTTGCCCATCCCCTGTAATTAGTTCATGGATGAGTTATTCAACTTCTGAGCCTGTTCACTCATCTTTATTTATGAGAATAATACTACTACTACCCCCATTGAGTTTTAATAGGAGTGAAATGATTGAAAGCCTATAAAACATTTTTATGCAGTACATCCACAGTAGTCATTTATTGGATACGTACACTTACCATGAGAGCTAGCCATGTCCTGCACTGTGTATATGCTTATTTACAAGTCTGATCGTTTCATCTCATTTCTTTGCATTGCTTAAGAACCTTGAATTTGTTGCATGGAATCAGCTCTTCTGTGACCTTGTCTTATAAGTTTATTTGAAATGTGACTTTCCTTTGTTCCCCAAAAGGTTCTTAGAAGCTATGGCTAGTGCTCTGACTGGCTGTCTTCACCACATGTCTTCTGAAAACCTATTGAATGCTGTGCATTCATTCTGCATGATGAATTATTTCCCCCTGGCTCCTATTAACCAGCTTATCAAAAAAAACATCATCGATGAACTGCTGACTTCAGGTAGGTAGTATGTCACCTTGTCATTCTGAGTGGAATTTTTAAAACAGTATTAGTCCTATTGTACAAAGCCAATGTTGCTGAGTACAGCTGCTAATGGAGAAGTCAAAGGTCAGGTATCAGACTACAAACCCACAGAGCCACCTCTGGTGACAAAGCTATTGCAGGGGAAAGGAGGGAATAAGATTTGTACAGTTGTTATTCTTTTAGCCTGTACTGTATGTATAATATTCAAAGCTGAGTGGTCTTGATTAGAGGTGTCTGCATTCCTTTTCCTAACTATACCACCTAAACCCTACCCAAGGTACCTAGAAACAGCCACTCCTGGTCTGTAGCAAGGAGATAGGCTGTTAGATCTAGAGACCAAATAGGTACCAAATTAGTGAATTTATTTATTCTTGAAACCAAATTAAGTATTGACTTTTTTTTTTTTAAACCATATCTGTATAGCCCAGGCTGCCCTGAAAATCACAGATACTGATTTGCCTCTACATCCCAAAAGTGGAATTTTCAAGTGCTGGATAAAGTTATACCAAGTCCTTGACTTTAAAAGAAGAAAAACAGTATTTGGCTAGATGTATAAAATTTAATAATATATCTTAGACTAAAGTAGCTATAATTCAGTCTATAAACAATAATATGAAATCCTGAAATTGAGTTGTGAAGAGTCAGCCCATATACTGATATTTTAAAAAATAGTCTGTGTTTGGAGAATAGACTTGGGGACCTGGAGTTTAGTCCTAAATTCTTGGACAGTTTCTCTCCTATAAAATGAGGCATGCACATCAACTCAGTTAAAAAGATAGCTTAAAGTTTGAAACACTAGCAAATACAGGTCATTGATGTAAACCTAGAAAACCAGGTGTCATTGAAAGAGCCCTGAAAATAAAGAAGAAACATCAAATCCCCCATTTCAGGGTTCAGGGAGCTATACAGAAGAGGAGGCAGAAAGATTTTCTCCAAGGAAACAGTGTCTTCCAACACAGTAGAACTAACACACATGAACTCTCAAAGATGGTGTTAACACACAGGATATGTAAAGGTTTAAGCCAGATGGGGTTCCAGCCTCAAGAAGGGGAAGAGGACACAGTCCCCATCCCTAATCAGAAAGCTATCTGCAAGTGATGTCGATTTGCAAAGTAAAAATTAGTTTTCTCCAATGGAATTGCAGTAGGTATACAGACCACACTTGGGGGTAGGCCCCATGCCCAGCAATAGATGCCAATACAAAATGAAATGAATTCAGTAGTACTGTAATGGATTCTTTGTCTTATATTTTCTTGTCTGGGCTTCTTTTTTTTTTATCTTACAAATCTGTTGCTTGTGTATTATGGTTTCTAATTTTGTGCTTTTATAGGGTGTGTGTGTGTGTGTTTCTTGTATATCTTTTCTTTTTTAAGATTCTGTTTTGTTGCTGTGGTTTACCTGTTTGTTTTCTAAAGAGAGAGAGGAGGAGAGGGTATGGTGTTGGGTGGATGGAGAGAATTTAGGGGGAGAGTTGGGAGAGAGGAAACCTGATCATAATATATTATATGAAAAAACCTTTTTTTTTTTTAAATAAAAAAATAGAACAAAGTAAAGAGGGGAGGGG